ATGTACAAAACTATTAACCAGGCAACTAGTGAATCATCCCTTAGTCCAAGTCTGAGGTTAAAATTATTCCCATTTAGATCAATATCTATAAAAATGGATGCAAAATATACATTTTTTTCTGTTTATTGTTATTTTTTAGTCCTTTAAAACATAAGCTGTGCCTGGTTGCTTTGGAATTGGGAAGACTTCAAATATAATAAAAAATAAAAGCAAATAGATAAAAAAATATTCAAAAAATTCTCATTGTTGAGGAAGAATGTAAATTTTAAATAAAATTACTTTGCATCCATCCACTACCAAATTCACTACCTTAGCCATGAATGGAGGCAGAAGGCAAGTGGGTTATGTAAGAGGTATGAAAATATAAGGTGTATTTTTTAACGGTTCCGTGGAGAGAGACTTTTCCGCGGGCAAGAGGATGCGTGGCTTTGTGTGCTGCCTGCATCTGGCGGATGGGGCTTTGCTTTTTTGTGTGGACCAATTGCTGGCATGCTGCGGCCTGGTACTGGTCCACAGACCAGGGGTTGGGGACCTCTGCTTTAAAACATAAGCTGTGCCAGGTTGTTTTGGAATCGGGAAGACTTTAAATATAATAAAAAAAATAAAAGCAAATAGACAAAAAAAATATTTGTGGGTATCTCAAATGCTGTTGGAGAAAAATGCTCATCGTTTAGGAAGAATGTAAATTTTAAATAAAATTACTTTAAGTCCTTCCACTATCAAATTCACTACCTTAGCCATGGATGGAGGCAGAGGGCAAAAGTGTATTTTTTTAATGGGCCATCTTCCTTGATTCATACTAGTACTTTTAATAAGGAGGATTATTTGAGTTGGCAGTACGATGGGACTATGCTGGAATTTTGCATTATATTTAAAGTCAATCCTCTACATATGGGTTGCTTATTTCTTGCCTGGAAATGGAAGTTTATCTGTGGTCTGAGGATCTTCTGATTCAGAGATCAGAGGCATAGTTCTTTTCCTGTTTTCTTTAAGCTTAAGTTCCTCATTTACAAGATGAGTTCTTTTTTTTCTCAAAGAACAATAGATGTTTTAAGGAAGGAAGGAAGGAAGGAAGGGAGGGAGGGAGGGAGGGAGAGAGAGAGAGAGAGAGAGAGAGAGAGAAAGAAAGAAAGAAAGAAAGAAAGAAAGAAAGAAAGAAAGAAAGAAAGAAAGAAAGAAAGAAAGAAAGAAAGAAAGAAAATCACTCTGTAATTTGTGGGTTTGTGACAGGGTATTCTCTGTATTATCCAGGTTGAAATAAGTTATTAGCTCCACTGTTTTATTTAAGAGAAAGAGCTTACAATATATGTGTGGCTCATTTTGTTCCTAGTATGTTTTCTAGTAGCTCTTAGGCATACAGGTATAACTAAGTCCTCAATTTAGGCATACAGGTATAACTAAGGCATACAGGTATAACTAAGTCCTCAACTTACAACTATTTGTTTAGTGACCATTCAAAGTTACAACAGCACTGAAAAAAGTGACTTATGACCGGTTTTCACACTTACAACCATTGTAGCACATGATCAAATCTGGGCGCTTGGCAACTGGCATATTTTTATGATAGTTGCGGTGTCCCAGGGTCACGTGATCTCCATTTGTAACCTTTCCAGCCCGATTCCAACAAGTAAAGTCAATGGAGGAAGCCAGATTCGCTTAATGACTGCATGATTCACTTAACACTGCAATGATTTGGATCACAACTATGGAAAAAAGGTCATAAAATGGGGCAAAACTCACTTCACAAATGTCTTGCTTATCAATGGGATTTTGGGGCTCAATTGTGGTCATAAGTCGAAGACTATCTGTATTAAGCAGTATTACTCAAGAGCTCAGCTACATCTGAAAACTCTTATGAGTGTGAATGTAGAGGCATTGATTCTTCCCATCTCATCAGCTACTGACCACAATGGGGAAGTAGAGTGTGGGAAGAAAGTTAAGGATTTACTCCCTCTTTGGCATTAACTTCGTTTGCAGTTGCCTAACAGACTGCTATTTCTGGGTTACTTCCTTTCACCTTCTCGAGTTCCCATGCACAAAACAAATCAACCTACAACCAGAACTAAGAATGCTGTGGGTTTTTTTCAAGAAAATTTATTTAGTCAAAAGCAGCATAGATTTAGAAGAGTGGTTATGCAATTTTAAAGAAGGTTTGATGGTAGCATGAAACATAGCATTGATATCCCAAATGTCATCTCCCCAAAACTTCTCAGTTTGATATTATAACATCTGAGTGCTAATGCACAATGCCCTTCCAACAAGAAAGAAACATCTGGCAAGGGTATATTTCAAATTCTCAATAAACTAAGAGTCATGGTGGCTCAGTGATTAG